TTTTCATTTGTTTTGTGCTTGCATATGAGATTGTCTGCTAGTTATCATTAATTTCGTTTTTGTGATGAAAAAAAAAAGAATATTCTTCTTCATCAGGGATGCAGCCCTGCTCATATAAACTTGTAAGAGATGCAGTAAGAATGCGATTAGATTATATTCGCTATAAACACTATTTTTGAATTATTATTTTCAGTCACCTGGTAAAATAAGTTAATACAAAAATTTAAGATGTTTGTACAAACACTAAACATTAGGTTATTTATTGAAAAAGTGACTAGATTCACAACATTTCAATATATTAAAACAACGTTCATCAACAGCGTCCTTAAAATTTCAATAAAGATACAATATAGTGCTATAAAATTTTAACGCTTGTTAGTAAAATCCAATATTTTAATCAAATTTATATAATTTTCTTAATAACAAAATAAATAATAAAACTAGCAGATTCTACAATCTCATTTATCTATTTAAATAAGATTGGGGCAAAGGCGGGTAATTTTGCGCAGGCGACATTATCTGTCACCACACTATCGCATCTCCTAAGATTTATATGACCGCACATACAAATACAAATCATGTCGTTGCCCATCATACAGGAGCACCAACATGCACTCAGTTTTAATCAAGCGTTAAAGCAGAGTTCACGTTTATTTGTTTCGCGCCCAATTGAAGTATTTTTTTATCTTCATAAATAGCGGGTAAGTGAAGTTATATACATAGTTTTGATATCATTTGTGTTACTCATTAATGTAGTTTTATTTGTGATTATGTATTTTGAATGTGTTAAATGAATAAATAATATTTATTTATTAAATTTAACGGTTGGGTAATGCCGGTCACATTGACTGGTATTATCCTCAAATCAAAGTGGATACTTATGCTGGTATATACCTATTTTTGGTTTATTTAGTATGATTTAACCATGTTTAAAATTGTTACAGAATGCCGGGAAGGGCAAACAAGAAAAAGATACAAGTAAAATGGAACTAGAACTCGTTAAACACTGGTTTCAAGTTAGTCGATAGAAGGTAATTCGATAAGAGAATCGGCTCGATCTACTTCTGTTTAGAAAAGAATTAAAAATACAAATAGTAATAGTCTCCAGTTAGAAAGAAATAAGTACTTACCCATGATCGAGTAAAAAATAAAACATAATTTTAACACGACTCATCAAATCGCTGGCAAAGACTGGCTAAAGGCTTTCTGAGAAGGAATCATTTGTCTGTGCGGAATACTGAAGGACCGCTTTTAACACAGATGAGGTTACATTGTTTTTTCAATTACTTGAACAGTTAATGGAGAAGTATAAGTTCCCACCCAAAAACATTTAGTGTAGATGAGACCGGAGTATCCTCAGTGTAAGCTATCTTCAGGAAAAATTGTGACAGAAAAGATCAGAAGCATGTGGAATCGGAATTTAGCAACACAGAGTTGCCATCAACAAGTCCTCGTAGACACTTTGCCTCAAGACCAAGCAACCTCATCCAGAGTCATACGTTGCCATGTTACCAATTCCACTGGTAACTTTAACATCTCAACTTATAAGAACATATAATGTAACAGAAATTTAAACTAATAACATTTAACGGGTTTTTACCCAAATATTTTAGTGACTCAAAGCATTTTCACTGATGATGGACTATGGATTTCCAAAACGTTTTGTAATTGTGATATAACCCGTTTGTTTATTTTATTATATACCTTTTATAAAGGATTTTAAATTAAAATTTTTTGTGATACATGGTATACAGCCAGCTACAGGAACTTAGTTTCCTAGAGGATATCTGAAAATGATCAAAAAACATTATTTGATGAGTTCTGGACTTTTACTTGGAACGAAACATGACTTTACATCGATAATTTAGTAAAAGTTATTTATACAAATAAACAAAGAGATAGGAAAGATCCAGAAAAATTGAAGAGAATTAATACTTCACCATTTTAAAAAAAGGCGAAGATATGTTCCGAGCCTGTAAAACGTTATTGCTAAACACTTTTTTTGATGAAGAAATTAAAACTTTGCAGGACTTTTTAGATGATTTGCCCAAAATGCCGTTCCATTATTGTAGAAATAGGACAACACAGACATATACCTATACAATCGGATATTTCATCCAAGTAACAGCTTTACAAAATATACACAGATTATTGTGAGTCAAAAAACAAAAAGAGGTTATCTATTTTACAATACGAAAAGTATCTCTCTTTAAACCAAAGAAAGAGTTATGCGAAATTTCTAATGGATACACGTTGGGTCATATTGGAAAAGAAATCTATAAAGGGCACATAAGTAAAAAAATGAAACAATACTGGAGAAGGAATCTGATAAAGAAAAAAAAAGAATTTGTCTTTACTGATCTTCAAGCTCTACTTTTGGCGCCACGCTCCAGTGTATCATCTAATTATTATAAGACCAAACTCTGCGTTTACAACTGGTACATTTATGACATGAAGCATAGTGATGAATATTGCTTTCTGTGGAATGTGGCTGAAGGAAGATTGAATTCTGATGAATTTCCTACGATTTTGGTGAACTTTCTTGTGGAAAAAAGTAATTCCAAAAATGGGAGAAGACAACAGGCACATAATCGTGTATACTGATGTGTGTTGTTATCATAACCGAAACGTCACTTTAAGCAACGTTCCAGCTGAGTACATTACCATTTGTGGGAAAGCGAAGAAATCAAAAATAGGGTTCTATCAACCTTGCGAGCAAGCAAGATTTAGAGCTGGATACGGAACAAATGATCATTTGCAAACCATTAAGTCGTTGATTGAAAAAACCATTGAATATAATAGACCCCCGATACTTGTCTTTGTCGACTTTGAAAAAGCATTTAATATGGTCAATCAAAGTGAAATGATCCAAGCTCTAACTTCTTCTTAACGTGCCCTATCAAGTCCCCTTGACGTTGGCGATTAACATGGCGAAACTGTCTCTGCCTCGAGCTATTCTAAATAGTTGCTCAGCTTTCTTTATTCCTGTCCAATCCCTGATATTCTTCAACCAAGAGGCCTGCTTTCTACCAATTCCTCTGCGTCCTTCGATTTTATCCATCATAATAAGTTGAAGAATATTATATCGGTCTCTCCTTACTACGTGTCCAAAATAGGCCATCTTTCTACATTTGATGTTACAAGCTCTAACACAATGTAGAATAGATCACCGATACATATCTCTCATCAGATACATCTATCAGCATGCTACAGCCTGTGTAAGACTTAATAAAGATACTGGGACCTTTTGTATTAAAAGAGGCGTTCAGCAAGGAGACAACATGTCTCCTATATTATTTACAACTTTGCTTGAATACGCTTGTAAAACAATAAATTGGAACGAAAAGGGCATCAATGTAGATGGAAAATTTTTAAATAACCTTAAAATTTGCAGATGATATCATTCTTATTGCAGACAGCTTTGATCAGGCACAGATAATGCTCCAAGAACTCCATACTGCCACAAAAAGACTTAGTCTTAAAATAAATTTTTCAAAAACAAAATTTATGACAAATTTAGTCTACAACAAAAACATCTCAGTAGAAGACAAAGATATTGAGCCAGTTGACTCCTATAAATACTTGGGCCATGAGATCAGAATAAGTCGAGACAACCAAATAATTGAGCTGAAAAGAAGAATAAACCTGGTTGGGCTGCATTTGGAAATATGAAGGATATTTTTAGGTCTAAGATTCCAATGTGTCTGAAAAGAAAAGTATTTAATCAGTGTATTTTGCCAGTGATGACCTACGGCGCAGAACCCTAACACTAACACACGCCCTACAAGTTGCGGAAAGGGCAATGGAGAGAATAATGATAGGGAGTTCTCTAAGTGATAGAATATCCAATGCTACTATACGCAAAAGATCAGGAGTAGCAGATGTTATTGAAAGAATAACAACACTAAAGTGGAACTGGGAAGGTCACGTAGCAAGATCAGTTGATGACCGGTGGACAAAAAGAATTTTGGAATGGAGACCCCGAATACAAGCTTACAGAAATAGAGGTCGACCCCCAACGAGATAGACAGATGATATAAAAAGAGTGAATACAAATTGGATTTAGATGGCGCAAAATCGGACTAAGTGGAAAAGCATGCGAGAGGCCTATGTTCAGCAGTGGACGCTAGAGGCTAGTGGATGAAGAAATCAAAACCTTACACAGTTGAATACTTAAACTATTCCTACTTTAAGAATTTTAAACATCTAAATTTGTACAACTCCTTAAGACCAGGAAAACTGAGGGGAGATCCTAAGGTATTGCTATTTAGTAAATTATAATCATTATTTTTGACTATATTGGATCGGTGTTTTTTATCTATATTTTTCATGTTACTGAAATTCGAGTTCTCATGTATACACCATCTGGAGAAATATTTTATAAACTTTGATTTTTTGAGGAATATAAATTACTCAACCAACGGAAAAGTTCCAGAATAAATACAATATCGTTTCAAGGTTAGTTAAATTTGTACCCTGAATGCAGAAAAAATTACACGAAAGAAACACTTTGGATTTACAGCAACTAAAGAACTTAATGCCGAGAGATTACCATAAGTATTATGACGATTTCCCTAATGGAGACTAGAAATACGTTATAAATCATAATTATAAGTATAATTCCGTTTGTTTTGTTTTAAATTAAACCTATTTTATAATCCCTAATGAAATTTTATTTGAATTAATCTCTGGTGCATACCAGCTAATTCCAACAGTACGTATTTTTCCTGTAAAAGAAGGGTCATTGTATAAACTATTATGTAATGGCAAAAATAATAGGTAATGATATTATTTTCCAACTGGATTGTAATTTTTGTCATCAGTAGCTTCTAAAAATATTATAATGTGTTATGTCTCTCCTGAAAAATTTGTTTAAATGGAGTTGGCCGGTTTTCGAATTAAGGTATCGATATTTCAGTTATAAAATAAAATTTAATGTGGACTTACGATTTTTTAACATTTATTAATGTGTACCATAATTTGTGTATCGCACTTTTAAAATTTTTATTACTTAAAACAAAGCAAAATTTAAAATATTGGATCTAACATTTTATATAGTCTTTCATAACGTTGGCCATAATATATTTATTCTTAAAAATATAGTTAAAGAGAACAAGCAAATACATTTCGATGTCAAATACTTAAAAACAAACAATTTACAATTTGTAGGCTTGTCGCATCATTAAATCGAAATAGCAATCATTGTCGATCGAGGCACTTATTCCAGAATAATAATTCAAAAATTCTTCGCGCGTGACCTTCCCATCTCTAGTCGAGTCGGTTTCGAAATTTCCTAAAAATTTAGTGAGGATGGATTCTTCTGTGTCTTCTCCTGAGATGTAGCGGGGGTGCGCTTTTACGTTGTAAACATTTTTCAAGTCGTCGATTGTTATTTCGCCATCCCCAGTTTTGTCCAATTTGTTGAAAGCTTCGTCTATGACTTTTTTGCGGGTTTCATTTAGGGGTGGCTGTAATAGAATAATACAATTTAGCAAAATAGTCATTCATATACTTAAATAAAATATTATATCTAGAGCGCGGAATATATGCAACATTTTTTTGAAAAAATATGCACATATATAATATGCATCTTTTTTCATGAAAATATGCACAAATGTTGACTTTTATTACAAAATATGCAATCCAATATGTAATAAAATTTAATGATGTAATAGAGCAAAATAGGGTGCAAAAAGTATTATGATTAAATGATTATTTATGATTATTAAATGATTATGATTATTTTTTAACTAAACTGCTTTATTGTAATTAATACATGAGTAAATTTTTATAAATCATTTTTTCTATTTTCCCAAAAGTTACTATAAATATAGCTGCCCCCTTCTTGCTGCAAGGTCCTCAATTATCCAAAGCTTTTTGGATTTTTTATTTACTGTGTATAATTAGGATGGATTAAGTGAATATGCAACACCACACGAGTACCTTAAAAAATAAAATGTTTCCGCGTAGCAATTCATTAATTAAGTCTCGCTGTGTCACCAGATCAATAACTAATAATCTAATCAGATAAACCAAGCCCTACTTTAGTCTTTACTATTATTGAGTTTTCATGCTATAAATAGCATTTTTATTCAAATGAAAGAAAGTGGAAATTTAGTGTTTTCCTGCATAAATAATTATTTACTATAATTATATTATTAAACAGCTGTATTTACTATAATTTTAATTTAAAAAATAGGCAACTGGTGGTGTATCAATAGTTTTAATATTTTTTGTGTTCAGTGAAAAAACTCATGCAAAGCATACACACAGCAAGTCAAGAATATGGTTTAGAACTCAATACAACCAAAACTAAATGCATGCTCATCAGCAGAACACAACAACCTCCGATGTAATTGACATTAAACAACCGAAAAATAGAACAAGTGGAGACATACACATACCTTGGAACCACAGTCAACATAAAATGAGACCAGTCAACAGAAATAAGATCACGAATTGAAAAAGCGCGAAACGCGTTCAACAATATGAAAAAGTGGTTCACAAGTAAAATCTCAATGGAACTAAAATTAAGACTGGTCAAGTGTTATGTCTTCCCGGTCTTGTTCTATGGAGCAAAGGCATGGGCCACAACGGAAGCCACCCTGAAGAAACTAAAATCCTTTGAGCTGTGGATATATCGCCGTATTCTTCGGATATCCTGGATGTAATGAAATGCAAAACCTTTATAAACTAGGTTTTAATATACAAGAAATTAGCATTGTTTTGTTTGAATGAATAACATGACAATTACATATGACATTAACTAAAACTAAGATGACAAATGACAAACACAGTTCACAGACCACAGGACATTCACCCCAACTTTATTTTTGAACAAAGTCTTTAAGGTAAGCAGGAGTGTTTCTTTCCCTGGTACCTCTTCTAATAAGACTGTGTTTATTTTCTTCCTCTAAAACACTTTCAATATGACCTTGATCTTCCAGAATGTTAACAGGAGAAATATTTGGATTTTCCTCACATATACTCAATCTAGGGCTTGGTGGATCTTTGATAAACTGTTCATTAGAAACCGCAGATTCCGATCCACTAACACAGTCCAGAGATGCATCTCCTCGTGGTGCAAGTTGTCTTAAGGCTACTGTTGTTTCTTTACCATCTTCACGTCTAACAACAGCATAGTTTGGATTTGCTTCAATTAGCTGTACTTCTTCAACGAGGGGTTCATATTTGGACTGCCTCACATTTTTTTTCATAAATACTTTTCCGGGGGTTATCAACCATGAAGGAAGTGCAGCTCCATTTATAGCTTTTCTGGAATGATGAAACATTCGCTCATGAGGGGTACTGTTTGTAGATGTACACAAAAGAGAACGAATTGAATGAAGAGCTATCTCAACTACTTCTTCCCACTGTTCAGTTTTTAAATGTTTAGATTTTAATGCAAGAGAAATAGTTTTCCATATAATTCCATTATATCTTTCTGTCTGGCCATTTCCTTCAGGATTGTAAGATGTTGTTCGGCTTGTTGGTATTCCTTGTGAATGGAGAAATGTTTTGACTTCTTGAGACATAAATGCCCCCCCTTGGTCTGAATGGATATAACTAGGCATTCCAAATAAAGAGAATAAGTTTGTAAGACACTTCACAACAGTTTTCGCTGAAACATCTTGACATGGATATACAAAGGGGAATCGAGAATATTCATCAACAATTGTTAGGATATATTTGTTATGAGATCTAGATGGAAGCGGTCCTTTAAAATCCAGAGACAATCTTTCAAAAGGCGAAGTAGCTTTAATTAATCTCCCTTGAGTTTTCAAAAACTTTGGTTTTATTTCTGCACAGATAGGACAGCGATTGGTCATTTCACGGACTTCATCAATAGTATATGGTAAGTTGCGTGTCTTTATCCAATGGACCATTCTGGTGATTCCTGGATGACACAAGGATTGATGTAGTTCAAATAGACTTGGTCGAGGATTTATTGAACAGCTCACTCGTGAGAAAGTATCTGGCACTACATTCTCAACTCCTGGTCGGTACTGAATATCGAAACTGTAGCATGATAATTCAAGGCGCCATCTGATAATCTTCTCATTTTTTATCTTACTAGTGTGGCGCATATTGAACATAAAAGAGACAGACTTTTGATCAGTTATAAGTCGAAAATGTTTACCTATCAAGAAATGTCTCCATTTTCTAAGAGCTTCCACTATTGCATAAGCCTCTTTTTCCACTGATGAATGATTTCTTTCACTTTTTGATAAGGTTCTTGAAAAGAAAGCAACAGGTCTTCCTCCTTGGCTAAGAGAAGCAGCAATACAAAAATCTGAAGCATCAGATTCAACGATAAAAGGAATCTTGTCATCAATTGTAGTAACAGCTGAAGAAATAATTTCAGATTTAAGAATTTGGAAAGCTTCAGCTGCTTGTTCTGTTAAAGGAAAAGTATTGCATGTGACTAGTTTTTGTATCTTTTCTGAAAATTGTGGGATAAATTTGGAATAATGTGCAAACATTCCGACAGCTCTCTTTAGTGATTGTGAATCGTTTGGTAAGGGTAACTTCTTTAATGGTTCAAGTCTTTCAGGATCAGGTTTTAAGGTCTGATTTTCTATTTGATAACCCAAAAGTTTGATTGAATTTAGTGTATAAGAACTTTTATTTTGATTTATTGTTAGATTGTATTTCTTCGCTACTTCCATAAATTTATTAAGATTTTCATTATGTTGTTGTTGATTTAATCCACAAACCGTAATGTCATCAAGATATGCATACACACCTTTTAAATGTTCGGATTTAATAATACCATCGATAACCCTTTGAAAACAAGCCACTCCGTTGGTTACCCCAAAAGGAATCCGGCAAAATTGGTATAGTTGGCCGTTGGCTTCAAAAGCAGTGTATATTTTCTCTTCATTTTTAATTGGAATTTGATGGTATGCATTTTTAAGATCAATAGTACTGAAGACAGAATATCTTGCTACTTTTCTAACAATATCTTCAACATCTGGGAGAGGATAGGCATCTAAGTAAGTAAATTTATTAATTGTTTGTGAATAATCTACCACCATTCGCTTTTTGTGTGTTTCACTTTTTGTAATAAGTACTTGTGCACGCCAAGGAGAGTTGCTTTCTTCTATGATTCCATTCGATAGCAGATACTGTATCTCGTCAGATATGAATTTTCTATCTTCAGTTGAAAATTTTCTTGATTTAGTTGCCCTCGGTTTGCAATCATTTGATAGATTGGAGAATAATTTGGGTGGCTCTATATTTAAGTATGCCAAACTACAAATGTTATCTATATGATCAATAACTAAAGGCATTTTTGAGCCAGCAAAAGTGATTTCTAGAGAAGAATGTTGTTTAAGCAAGTCATGACCTATAACTACATCAGCACATAAATCTTGAATTATTGATAATTTGACATTTTTATATGAATGTTCGTTTATTTCTAAATTAACAAAGCAGTGTCCTGAGATAGTCGTTCTGAGTGCTGTTGAAGCCATTATTATGCTTGCATGACTTCTAAATGTTTTCACGTTTATAGACAATGCATAATTCTTACTGATATATGACTCAGAACTACCTGTGTCTATTAAACTTTCAGCTGTATTTCCATTCACCTTTATCTCAGTAACACTTTTAGATAAGCATTGAGGGGCAGCAGCAAGATTTCTAACATTCGAACTAGATGTAGTAGTAGCTAAAACAGCAGCTGATACTGAATTGGGCATCTGAAGCCTACATACCTTGGAAAAATGTCCAACTTTCGAGCATTTCTTACAAACTTTGTCTCTAGCAGGGCATAGGCTACGAGGATGCCTTTCAGTTGATCCACAAAAGTAACATTTCCAACTTTTCACAGCAGCAGAAGTATAATTAGTGTGCTCTCTGGTTTCAGAAGAAATTGCATTAATAATTTGTACAGGAGTTGTATAAGCCTCAGAGTGTTTTGAAGCTGACTCCAGAGACTGGGCTTTTACTATGGCATCTTGCAGAGTAATAGTGTTGTTTTCTAGTAAACGTTGTCTTATGTCATTAGAAAGAATGCCATTAATAAAAGAGTCTCTTATATAATCTTCTCTATTTTGGTCTGCAGAAACGGCTAGAAAATTACAGTCTTTGGAAAGCACTTTAAGATGTTGAACGTATTGACCTATATTTTCACCAGTTTGTTGTTTTTTTGTCATTAGGATATGTCTGGCAAAAATTTCATTTTTGGGTTTAACAAAAGCTGCTTCAAGAATACTTTTGGCTTCAGAATACTTTCTACAATCAGAGATGAGTTCATAGATATTGTTGCTCACGTAATTTACCAGTAGTTTGAATTTCTCCTCCTCTGAAACATCAATCACAGAGGAAATAAAGTTTTCAAAGGTAGCTTTCCAATGCATCCATTCTTGAGACGATCTAGGAGAGTTAGGATCAGCATCGAATCTGTCTGGTCGTAGTAGCTTATCCATATTTGATATTTCTTGTATATTAAATTGTAATGAAATGCAAAACCTTTATAAACTAGGTTTTAATATACAAGAAATTAGCATTGTTTTGTTTGAATGAATAACATGACAATTACATATGACATTAACTAAAACTAAGATGACAAATGACAAACACAGTTCACAGACCACAGGACACTGGACAGACCACATCACTAACGTGGAAGTAATGCAGAGAATAGGCAAAAGCAAAGAAATAATCTTCATAGTAAAGAAAAGGAAGCTTGATTACTTCGGACATCTCATGAGGCATACTAAGTACCGGCTGCTACAGTTAATAGTCCAAGGAAGAATCGACAGTAGGAGAGGACCGGGAAGAAGACGACATTCATGGATGCATAACCTGCGACAATGGTTCGGACTAACATTGACCGAACTGTTCAGAGGTGCCGTAAACAAAGTCAAAATAACCTTGTTAATAGCCAACGTCCGAACGGATAGGGCAAAGGAAGAAGAAGAAGAAGTGAAAAGTTGCAAAAATTATAAACCTTCCCAAAACTGCGAAATTTTACAAGGACTCCAAATTTTAGAGACTTATTAGCCAATTTTTGTCCAATTCTTCTAAATTTTTCACCAAAAAAAAAAGAATTCATTTTGAAATAACTCAAGAGTTTATTTCCAAAACACCTTACTTAAGGATGTAAAATAGAGGGATGCGCAACGTATAGATTTTCCTATCCAACATGTCAACCTCACCTGCCCGTGTTCGATCATCCGGTGCACCCTGCTAGATAAGAAAAGAGACTCTGACGTCCGAGTGATTGTCGGTATAAGCAATCTCCCAATTACTGACCAGCGGCTTCGGACGGATGAGTTTGGTAAGTGGTAAGGCACTATTTTATCCTGGTGATGAGAAATCGGCCCCTAAGGTGGATGAATGAACAAATGGTCAACGGAATAAGAATGCAGAAGGCAAAGGGAAATCAATTCATTTAAGACTTATAGAGTACCCTCGGGAAAATCACCATGGAATTGCAAAACGTTACGAATCATATTTTTTATGCAGGTTTCTTGGTTAAAAAACATTCGTAAATGGACTCAGATATCAATTGAATGACAATTATTATTCTATGTGAGAGAAGATCGAGAAGCTTTCGCAATGGTAATAGATAACGTCGAGACTTAACTTATATCGGGAAATCAGTATTACCGCTCCAAAAATCCTTTATAAAAGCAGTCAAGTATTTCTAAAATGTCGTAATGTGTGTAAAACTATTTAAGTGGGGGCATTTTTTTTAAAAAAAATTGAATTCAAAATATTACTTTTATGCTCGAATCTTGTTTTAAATTCAATAACAGGAATATTTCACTATTATTGATATGCGAATAATGTTAAAAACTAATATTTCCCACAAAATATAAAAGCACTATTCTAATACTGGTAATGTACACAATGAACTATGTAACGTTCCACACGACATAAAGCGTTATTAACTTCTAAAATATAGATAATCGATACCTAACTCTTTTCATTATATTCCTGTGATAAACAAATACAGTAATCGCTTATGTATTTTTGTTGTAGAGATCGATAAGAATATTAATTTTACAAACATAACATTGTAAACAAAACATATGTGGGAAATTTGGTTAGGAAAATCTATCTGAGTCTGTCTTGGATTTACACTACTATATGAAGAGACTCAATATACATTCACCGGCACGAAAAACGGAGCACTTGCATTTTTAAAATAAAATCTTAAAATTTTAATTCTCGTTAAACTTTTATTATTTTAATAACGTAAACACAAACGAAACAAACTGTTTTCAGTAATTTCTAATCAAAATTTAGCTTTTGAACAAAGAACTGTTTCAGTAGAAACCATTTAAAAATTAAGGAAAAAACGTAATTAAATGTTGTAACAAAATAATGCTCAACTTAATCGTGTGTCCGGACAAACTGATTTTAATAATGAATGTTTCCTCCACGTGCTCGAATTATTGCCTGAATTCTCCCTTTAATGCCTAAAATCAAATGAGAAGTGTCCTGTTGAGGAAATAAGTTCTCATTCCTCTAAAAGGGCTTCTTGTAACTGATTTCAGGTTAAAGGAGCAGGAACACGACTTCGTATCCTTCGCCCAAGCATGTTCGACTGGATTTGCGTCTGGACTCAATGCTGTTCAATAAATTTCAGAAATGTTTACTTTATTTAAAAACTGTTGAGTGATTCTCGCACTGTGAGGTTTGACATTATCATGCATTGGAACAAAGTCATTTCCAATTCCAACAAAACCAGCATAAGGCACAACAAAATCTTGGAGAATTTCATTAAGGTACCTGGCAGCTGTTATGGAGCCTTTCGGAACGATGTACAAATATGTACGTGCCTCTGAGAAATTCCAGCCCACACCATAATTGAGCCCCCTTGATAACCTACCTGGTGTTATGTAACAGAGACCTAAAATTGGCATTAAGGATCCGCCTACTTCGCTGCTACGTGTTCTCGGTCTTACTTTATGCTGTCGAGTCCTGGACTGTGAATAAAATCGATCTAAATCGCCTTGAGGCTTTCGAAATGTGGTGCTATAGAAGAATTTTAAAAGTTTCCTGGGTGGAGAAGATTCGTAACTCCACAATACTAGAACGTCTCAGCAAGACTACTGAGATCATAAAAAGCATCAAGCAGAGAAAGCTGGAATATTTCGGACATGTAATGAGAGGTCCCAAATATAGATTGCTACAAAACATCATGCAAGGAAAAATAGCAGGCAAACGTAGTCCAGGACGAAGAAGAACCTCATGGTTGAAGAACTTGCGAGACTGGTATGGTGTAGACACAATCATGCTATTTAGGGTGGCAGTGAATAAAATTAAAATAGCTATGATGGTAACCAACGTTCTGAAAGGACATGGTACATGAAGAAGAAGAAGATAACCTACCCTAGGACTGAATGTAGCTAAACCTGGACTCATTGGTAAATAAAACGTGCCTTCAATTATTTAAAGTAAAATAAGCATGAGGCGCCTGAGAAGTTGTAGGCTTGTTGCAGGTCTGCGACTGCTTAAATTTGCTTTTCCAAGCCTTCTTCTAATTGTTCGTTCACTTTCGTTAGTATTCCGAACGTACTATCGTGGATCTCGGATTTTTACAGCTGTGGCACGATCTCGTAGACTTTGTAAAAGGATGAAGAGATCATCACGGGCACTAGTTCTTCGTTGGGGGCCGATTCCAAGTCGTCTAGTGTAAGTTCCGGTTGCCAAGGAACGTGTAAAAATCCGGTGTACTATACTATTGGATATTTGATACTTTTCAGCAACATATCGCTCACTTCTTCCGTTTTGAAGCAACGCAACAATAGCAGCCTCTCAATGCAGATTGAACCGTGACATAATGGAAAAGAAGAACAGATTTTTAGACAGAAAAGACAGGCAGTCATGCCTATGACACATAATTAGATGTACTCTTTTAAACGAATTGCTAAAATTTATTTCTGAAAGATTTTTGTTATTTTAGAGACGCACAGCTAAGTAGATTTTGTTATCCAAAATAGATAGTGCTGCATAGCATGTTTCAGTAAATATTTGTTAGGGATGATATTTTTCTTTCTCCAAGTTTTCCTATCATTTCTACCGCTATTTAAGCCGAAATATGTCATCGTGTGTACGAAGAAGAAATGTGTTATAGTGTAAACAAACAATATATTATTTACAAAATGAACGGCAGCTAAGATGGTCGGAACAGATGGGAAGACTGACTGGACCCGTTATCTCATTGTTAATCTGTTCGGGTGTGGGTCTGCCGTGAGCATGAGAAGGTAAACTATCATCTGACTCAGGTGTTCAGAGTACAGGTTATTTTGACTCCCATCAGAAACGAATTAGCAAGAAGAAGACTGTATGAAAGAAAGACGAAAGTGCGTAAGGATAAGAAGATAACAACGGAAGGAATTTTAATTGATGCTACATACCGAGAAAGTTTTGGAATCTTATGAACGTTACAATTGCTGCTGTCATGAGATATTGGAGAGGAAGCGGAGGAATGTAGTGAGAGTATTGTAGTTTATAATGAGGCAGAGTAGAGTGAAGGGGGCCTGGTGAAATACTCATAGGTTTTCCATCATGCAATTTTTAACCAGGTGAAAGTTTTAAGTGGGCGGAAATCCCGGCTATCATTTGGTATAGTGCCAATGGTGTCTTTAAAAGATCTCTAAAAGAAAAAAGAAAATTCTTAAATAATGCAAAAATGTTATCTTTTAGATAACGCTGAATATAACAGAATAGAAAAGGAATATAAACAAAAAGTGAAAACTTTTGTTTTTAACACTTCCACAAGATTTATTTTAAATTATTATCACTACAGGAGTGCCTGTATGTGAAGAACTTAAAATTCGTCATTAAAAGAATGATTATGGTCTAGAAAGTGAAGTGCGTACGTAGAGACTATTTTTATATAATTGAAAGTCATTTTATGTTCTGCTATACGTTTGATAAAAGTTCTACCATTTTGACCGATGTAGGTTTTTGGGCAGTCGTGACATTTAAGTTTGTGTGTTCATCACTTTTAAACAAAAATAATATGACAGGAACTAAAAACAAATAATCGTAAAAAAATCGAATACATCAATCTAACTAGCCTACTGTTAACATAAAATTTGAATATTACTTACTCTTATATGAACTAAAAATTCATCTATATTCACGCTACCATTACCATCTGTATCAAACTTTTGAAACATCTCCTCGGCTTCTTCGCCACTTAATTCTAATCCTACTTCTTTAAGTCCATGTAAAAACTCTTCCTTATTTAAGTTTTTATTGCCGTCATCGTCCATTATTCTAAATAACCTAAAATCAGGATACAGAATGGAAAACAAAGAAATAAAAATACTCTGTTAAGCAGACGATGCAGTATTGATAGCCCAAGATGAAGATAGTCTACAAAAACTGGTCCATAGCTTTAATATATGAGCAAAAGAATTTAATATGATAATCTGATCTCAGAAAACTAAAATAATAGTGGTCAGCAAGGAACCTGCCAGATGTAAAATAGAAATTGATGGCATTAGTATTGAACAAGTAATGGAAATAAAATACCTGTGAATTACACTGTCCAGCAATGGAGACCTGGACAAAGAAGTGAGAGATCAAGTACAAAAAGCAAATAAACTGACAGGAGCCTAGCGTTAATAACACTAGATGGCGAAACAGACATATTAACACTGAGATGAAGTCAAGAATTTATAAAGCCAGTGGAAAACCAATAATGACATATGCAAAAGATGGAATGACAACGTTTCATAGAGATATTAATCCGCCAATGAACAAGCAAAATTGCTTATAAAGAGGAAGATGAAGAATAGAAAAATTATTACCTTCCAAGTCCTAAGATTCCAGTGGCTCCTCTAGATAAACATATTAGTCTAAGTCGTTGGACGGGATCTCCTGAGTTGCCAAGCGCTTGAAGTTCTCGCATACTTTTTGAAGCCATTTCTGTTTCTTGCCTCGAAGTGGCACTTTGGGGTCGAAGCATTCTGAAAAGAAAGCAAAAAACGTTAAACAAAATTGATCACCCATTATTTACTCATCTTCTTTATATTCTTTATCTTATACATTCTAACGGACTGTTAGTACATGAAAATAAAGAGTGTCCTGCACGGATAGAGTCACTGATCAGACATTGTTGGAAAGACTGAATACTGAACCTGAAATATACTATAAAGAAGAAAAAACTTCTTCAAAAAGAGTTTCTCAGGCACGCCTCTAAAGGCACAAGGTATGAGTTCCTGCAGCTTATAATGCAAAGAAAAATAGTTGAACGGAAAAGTGTGGGACGTAGGAGAATTTCTTGATGACATTGGTCGAATTATTCGTTGATTAGCAATCTTCACAAAAGACGCTGAATGCAAGAAGAAGTGTACAGGTATAAACCTGCAGCCTGAGTTTCGCGTTTGTTCTGCCCTATCCCTTTCGTGGGCAGATGTACATTTGGAAACGTACTTAAGGATACCAAATGATCGGAAATCATCATCCATACTGTATCCCTAATTCAAATTACTACGACCTGATCTAACTATTAAGTTTAAGGTCTTTAGTATCCGATTCTAACCTCCGCATTTATACCAATGGCCAGCGAAATGGCGCAGTTTTAAGATGATACTCTTTGCTGGGCATTTGGCAGATGCATTTGTATATGTTTCTTGGTTTAAAAATATTACACTTTACCAAAATGCAAAATTAGTTGACCTTCGAGGTCATCAATCTCTGTTATAGTGTATAAAGTAATCGAAATTAAATATTGTACATCATAAAAATTAAAAATGTGTGCCTCTATGCTGATATTACTTATTAATATAAACTATGCACCGCAATATTATCGGTATTTTTAATCTGAAAATTAATTTTAATATTATAGTTTAACTGTTAAAATAGTACGATGGTTGTTTTCATCGGTTTGGATAATGGTGTTTGTAATGTTATGATATTATTTATATTAAATGACTTTTACTTTGCCCATATATATCGTGACAACACATTGTATGGGCTTGATGGTAACGAAAAATTTCATTTCCTCTAATGGAACCCCTATAATTAAAAAGTTAATGTACATGTAACGTTTATCTGTACGTTAAATCAAAAGCTTATTGTCTCAGTTTCTGGCTATGTTTTATTATTTTTGTATTATTTTACAGTTTTATTAAATATTAATAAATAAATTATTTCTGCATACCAGCCCAGTCTGGTTATGCAGAAATCATCGATTTCGTGGCAAAATTGTTCGCAGATATCTGAAGCTTGTAAGACATAGATGGGGGTTACTAGATGACGAATAGATGAAAAAGTACTCGTATTTTTACCTTGCGTTTTTTTTAACAATAATTTATGCTCACAATTTGATTTATTATATTTAGGTTTTTTCCCTTATATTTTACATAAACAATTCCCTTATATTTATATCATTTTTTTATATCAAGAATATCTTTATTTCCCGTTTTTTAAATTAAAATTAATTAATAATTTACGGAGATATTTGCAGAAAAGCAGTTTCTTTGCACTAATTTATAAATTCTGTTAATTTTTTTATTAACAAACTAAATTTTATTAATACATTTGAACATCGAGGAATTGCCGTTTTTTAAATTTGTGCGAAATTTCCCCCCGATCGGTCGAATGATTTAAGAGTTATTTAATGTATTTATCCCTGAGACTAAATATTTAAACTATTGAACTTGCTCTATTAATTATCTTCTCTTCTCGTGGGACTCCTAGCGGAGATTGGAAATCATCATGGCCACTGCGACTTTGTTAGCAGCGCGCCTAAAAAGTTCAATCGAACTACACCCGAACCATTCACGTAGATTACGAAGCCACGATATTTTTCTTCTTCCCACACTTCTTTTGCCTTAATTTTGCCCTGCATGATGTTTCTTAAAAGTTCGTACTTTTCACCTCTCACAATGTGCCCCAACTATTCCATCTTTCTAGTTTTTATCTCATTTAGAATTTCGCATCTTTTGTCTAAAGTTTGGAGTACTTACGTGTTAGTGACGCGGTCCATCCATGATATTTTGAGAATGCGCTTATAGCACCACATCTCGAAAGCTTCGATGTTTTTTATGGTCAACTGTTTTAGTGTCCAAGCCTCAACTCCATATAACAGGGTAGAAAAGACATAACACCGCAGCATTCGTATTCGTAACTTTATATTGATATCACGATTACAAAAGAGTTTGCGCATTTTATTAAAGACTGATCTAGCGATTTCTATTCTACATCTAATCTCTTTTGTTTGATCAGTATCGTCTGTGATCCAAGCACCTAGATATTTATAACAGGGCACACGCTCAATCGTTGTATTGTCTATTACAAGATGAGCTCTGATGTTCTTTGATTTCGTGATTACCATAAATTTAGTTTTTTTCAAATTAATTTTCAAGCCGTAACTGTTACAGTATATATTGAGACTTTGAACGAGATGTTGTAGTTCTACTAGCGTTCCCGTTAGGAGAACTGTATCGTCAGCATACCTTATATTGTTGATCGTCTCACCATTTATTATCAGACCAAGATCTTCTTCCTCGAGTGCTTGTTCACAGATAGCTTCACTATACAGATTAAATAAAAGTGGCGATAAGATACATCCCTGCCGGACTCCTCGACGGATTTGAATTTCTTCTGTTAGTCTGCCCTCAACCTTGACATTTGCTGTTTGATTCCAATATAGATTGCATATAATTCGAATATCTCGGCTGTCTATATTTTTCTTTATTAGAAGCTAAATTAGAATATTAATTATGCTAGACACATTTAGCAATGTTTTTTCAAGCTACAGACTTGTACGTACAACCATTGGATAGCTGGTAAAAAACTCACATTAAAAAAAACCTTCTATGACCAATAGGAACGAAGTTAGGGACTATTTAAAAAAAATCATATCTCCATTGTTTATAAATATTAAAAAGTAAAATTTACACAAATTTTGAATGAAAATCTAAACTTTATATTAAAACTTCCCCTCTCGGAAATCTCGGAAAATCCCGGAAAATCAACTTATATTTTTTTCATCTAATATCATTTATGCAATAATACTTATATATTTAATAAATTAAATTACCGGTAATTTTTTACACATTATATTATTATATTCCTTATATTAATTAGACTTATGTTGATTTTCCGAGATTTCCGGGGGTTGGTGAAAATTATGTCATCATTATTAATACTGCGACATACTACTCCAGCCAAATTAAAAAAAAAAAATTACGGTGAATTTCAAATCGACTCAATTTTTCCGAAGTTTCCCATATTTCCCGGCCAGTGAAAATTATGTAGTTATTCATATTTTGACGAGCTACCCCAGAATAAAAAAGAGGCTTCTAGCTGAAATGGAATCCGAAATAATGTAAATTTTTCCACTTTTGTAAACACTTTTGTAAGTGTTTCAATTTGGAGTTCCGATCTCGAAAAAAACAACAGAGATGAAACAGTTATCCCCTTCACTTTCCTATGTCGATCTTTCGAAAGTACCTTCGTTTCGAAGGGCTGTAAGTTTAGAAAAATTGGATGAATTTTATAGCTATAAACTACAACATAAAGTTTAGATTTCGATTCAAAATGTTTGCAAATTTTACTTCTTAATGTTTATAAACAATGGAGATATGATTTTTTTAAAAATAGTCCCTAACTTCGTTTCTATTGGTCATAGGTTTTTTTAATGTAGCTTGAAAAATATAGAAGTTATTACAATTGTTTATAAGTAAAAAACATACCCCTTTTTCAAACGTTTATTTTGTAAACAATTTCGATGAAAACGCAATATGCATTTAACTTCTGAGATAGTTTAAGTCTTAAAGAATCCTATGAAATTTGTTAAATGTGTCTAGCATCATTAATAGAGCAAGTTCAATAGTTTTAAATATTTAGCCTCAGGGATAAATAACTTTTAAACTATTTGACCGATCGGGGGGAAAATTCGCACAAATTTAAAAGAAGGCAATTCCTCGATGTTCAAATGTATTAATAACATGTTATTTTGTTAATAAAAAAAATTAATAAAATTTATAAATTAGTTCAAAAAAAACTGCGTTTTTGGAAATATCTCCGTACATTATTTATCAATTTTAAAAAGGGGAAAATAAAGATAATATTTATATAAAAAAATATATAAATATTGTTTATGTAAAATATAAAGAAAAAAACTTGGAGACATAACCAGACTGGGCTAAATTAGTTGGTTGCGTTAATGAATCCAATCACTTGATATCCAGCAATAAGACCGCTATGATGATTTTTTTTTAATTAGCTACAAACTAATAGCCAGTCTTCTGAAATGAATAAACGAAGTAAAAAAAAATCATCGCTAATATCTGTAACATGGAACTGTTATTTTGTTGGAATACTATAACTTGGAACTGTTGGAAATGGATAAATACTATAAAAAAGAAATATTGACGATTCGCAGAACATTAAAATGTTTTATAATAGCGTAAGAACAATAGCGTTAATTCAAATTTTGTAGAATGAAGTGTATCAAATTGAAAATCGTATCGGAAAACCGCGATTAGGGTCTATACAATGTACTTAGTGCGTCATTTGGGTCACTGAATTGATTTTATAATATAACTAACTCTATAACTATAATTTGTCAACTCACCAACAATTACCCCAATTTGCTACAATAATTTTTCGTTTACAGTTTTCAGACTAAGTTTCCAACTTATTTTATATAGAACAAAATATTTTTTTACTGATGCGGTATAGACAGAACTGACTTAACAAACCAAGTATTAATCTGATTTTTACGTGAAAGTAAGTAGGTGAACCGTCATGATTCATCATAAGATGGGAAATTCCATTCAAGGTTACTTTAAATGACATGGTCTGAAAACCATATATTTGGTATATAGTAATAAATTTTTAAGTGGATTATTATAGTTCCTAAACAATTAAACACCATTTGATGCCTTGAAACTATTCCATCGTTACTTAATTATTAACAAATTTGTAATGCCAAACGTCATTAGATATTAGTGAC